AATAATAAATATTTATTTCTTGACTGGTTGAAAATGGCTCGCATGACATTATGAATATACAGTAAGTTTAGAATAAATATAGTACCTATATATGTGGTATTAATGTAGCATAATAATGTAAATAAAGTAGTACAAGTTAAATAATTAATATACAGTATCTTGAATGCTCTAAATTTTTTTAAATTTCTTCAACTTTTGTTTGTGAATAATTATAAACAGTAACATATTATAATATACATTTAAAATTATTTTAAATAATTTATGAAAACTCTTAACAGCTGGTGTAAAACCAACTTAGTACAGTAAGGATAAGTCTTCCATATACAAATTTTAAAAATTTTATATTCCGTAGGACAATTAAATAATTACAGAAACCGATAAATCCTTTTCAATTACATGATTATTAATTATTATAATAAAAATCAGTTCAGCATGAGTGCGCCACTGTGGTAACTGAAAATATTTCAATTCATCGTATTTTGATGGCCGTTACTCTCGACTTGTTTTTTCATTTCACTGAACCAATATGTAAATTTGATAGGAAATTGTGTGGCGTATACCGAATATCAATTAGAATTTAATGACGTTGTAGCAGGTAAACACCCATTTTCAATTTTATTAGTCGCGATTTGAACGCGAAAATACTAAATGTACCAATGGCTAATTTCCCCATTTTTTTTTGTTTGTTTGGGACGTTATTAACGTTTAGGTACAAATTTACCATCTGGTATTTAATATTTTACAAGTGAGCTGAGGCTTTATCATGTTAATTGAGTTGCTACATGTATATTTTAACGTTTACATACTTCGTACAAGGTGATCCAAGAGAAGCCGAAGCTTCTCCAAACGCCTCTAGAAAATTGAGAACTGATAGCTACACATACTATAGTCTATTTTTATGTATGAGAGAGTATTAAAATAATAAAGCGTTCGTAATCCATAGGCGTATCACTTCTTTTAGTAAACACTTAAAATATTTTTTGAAGTTATTCCTCGAGTATACACTTATATTTTCACCTAATTAACCTGATTATAACTTCTAAACAGCTGAAGGTAAAAAAGTGCAATTTTTTCTAAAATGTTTTATTTTTCCACAAGGTATGTTAAGAACATTGTGTCAAACGGGTTATGTAGGTATAAGGGTTTAAACTTTGACTTTTAAACAACGTTACGTTCATAAATAATAATTTTAATATAAAAACTACTTCTTACCTACAAATCCAAATCAGAATCGAAATCAGAAGCTGAACTGTCGCAACCAATATTTACAATGAGTGGCTCGATCATTTCATCAGTAATATTGTCCAACTTCCACATTTTCTCTTCTTCTTTAATCGTATGATTTACTGCCTTTTCCCAGTTTTCAGGCTTCACATTATTTACAGCCTCCAAAAAACAACTGTTTAACATCACTCATTTTAAAAGAATTATTTTTTCTTGAATCTTCTTCCTTTATCTGTGCCCATATCAGTTCAATCGGGTTTACTTCGCAATGATATGGTGGTGATCTAACCACCGTCATCCCACGATTTTTTGCAATTTCATTAATTTCATATTTTTTGAATTTCTCTTTATGAAGGGAACAGTTCTTTTCTCACAGAACCGGGATGGAACTTAATATTCTTTGAATTTAGCCAATTCTGTAAATCTTTTTTTAACCACTTGGTTGTGGGCATTTTTTCTATAAGTCTCGAGCGATAACTTGCATTATCCATTACTATTATACGGGATCCGGACAGTTTTTCGAATGATAATTATTCGAACGACAGTTCTTCGAACGACATTTATTCGAATGGACAGTTATTCGAAAAGACAATTCTTCGAACTGATAATTTTTCGAATGTACGATTTTTCGAATAGACAATCCTTATCATCTCGAACCGTGACAAGAACTTTGTCTACTGTCGGAAATTCTTTTCTAAAGAAGAACGCATGCACTTTCCTTCGAAGTCTTTCTTTCAAAAGATTTTCTAATTGAAATTTTGGTTTTCCTGGAGCTTTACGTGCTGTTTGAAACTCGCCACATTTATCTTCTTTAACAACTCTGTAAATCGTAGATTTCCCAACACCAAGCGTACTACTAACTAATTCCACTGTGTCATCAACACTTTTACATAAATGTTTTTCTGTAAATGATTTAAAACAATTAAATATTAATGTGAAATGAATGGAACGTATTTAAAGTGTGTAGGTAGTTTTATTAATATTAATAAAACTCAGTAAAATTAGTCTTAGCGCTTTCAGCCGGTAAGGCCATCATCAGAGACTTTGTCAGTAAATATAGAAGGTGCATGAAAATTAATTATTTAAAATTTTAAAGTAACCTTTTCGTCTTTTTTGTATTCAACATTTTACGATTACCTGTGCCCCAACTTGCCTCCGCTTCACGGTAGCTACTTTGAAAGGGCAGCTGGCTTCAAGCTGAAGTTCAATTTTTTCCATCTCTCTTCCTTGGAAAGGTTGAGACAGTTTATTTACACGTGTTGGGATGAGCCCCCACGTTTTTTCTCAATTTTCAACCACCTGTTAGGATTGGTTTTGCTTCGTTTCAAGCCTCAAGTTATGGTTGAGAACCAGGGACCGTATTGTGGCAGCCCTTTTAATCTAATAAATAAAATTTTAAATAATTAATTTTCATGCACCTTCTATATTTACTGACAAAGTCTCTGATGATGGCCTAACCGGCTGAAAGCGCTAAGACTAATTTTACTGAGTTTTATTAATATTAATAAAACTACCTACACACTTTAAATACGTTCCATTCATTTCTTATTACCCAGTGTGTACACACCACTCAACCTCTTCAAATATTAATGTTTTTTCATTAACTGTTAAAGGACCGATTTGTTGTCGTTTACGCGGACCTTCCAAATTTTCCATGTTCACACTAGAATTCACACTGCACCTTGCAAGTTGCAACTAAACGACATTTAGTAAACTGTCAAGAATACACAACTTGGACCTCCTTACTAAATGGAAAACCTATAATCGCATTTTCGGTGAAATTTGTTTGGAAGGTATTTATCTACTTATAATTCGATTACTGTAAGAAATTCTTGGAATTAAAATAAAACAAAATTGGCAAATAGGTACTTATTAAAAATAATCTTAAGATACGGCTATGCAATCTTTAATACATAGGGCTTTTGGCCTGTCCAAACCTTTTTCTATTGTTCTGTACAGCTTATGTTTATAAAGGACCAATAAAAGACCCAAAACTTGTAATAGCTCAGGTACATTTATTACAATTTTAGGAAATATTTTGCATTAGAAATGCTGTTTTATTACTCTCTCTCTCTCTCTCTCTCATACATAAAAATAGACTATAACGGATGAAGCATTCCTAGTAAAAAAATAGGCTGGACCAGATGGATTCAAATACCCCAAGACACAGAGAAATATTATAAACCAGTCATATCAAAATGGGGCAAGTATCTCGAAAATGTAGATAGTCAACTACAAACTTGTATAAACCTTTATTTTGACACCCTAAAGCTTGTCTCAAAACCTACTTAGCGTAGGGTGTTCGCTACTATAGATATCGATTTTTTTTGCATATTTTTTACAAATATCTCGTTTCCTATGGGTTTTATGCTATTGTACAGGATAAATATTGTAGAGGATTAAATTCTCTACAACTTTTGTTTAAAACAGGAAATTTCTCAAATTTGTATTTTATTGATGATAAGACCTTTTACTTAATAGTTATTCTGTTATTTTTATTCAAGATCGTAGATATGTAAATTATCTTTTCTTACACTAACTAATAAGTTCCAAAATAGACTTCTGAAATCTTAAATTTAATTAACTTTGGTGTTCCACGTCAAAATTCTAGGCACCTTTTGTCAAATTAGTTATTTCAAAGGTAAATTTATTACTAGTAATAAAATAGGAATATTTATTTTTGTACTGCAAAGATATAATTGTTCTACGCAGGATGATCAATACCATAAAACATAAAATGAATATTAACTGTTTTTTATTCATTTAAAAAGCTAGGAAAAAACTTACCCGTACGCGACAACAGATTATTATTTGATAACTCGTTGAGTGCATTAATTTATGTATTTATCTATAGTCCCGATACCAAAAGTTATATTCAATAGATTATATCACGAATTAATGATAATTTACAGTTACAGTACAAAAGCAATGATATAACAAGACAAGATTGCCTAACAGATCTTTATGGTATTATATAGCAAAAAAAAGCTATAACGAAGTTGATTAAAGAAAATAAAAAAAAATATTTAAAAAATTTATGTTTGAAAACTGACATGAAAGGGTTAAACAAAAATCATAAGTAAGCTATTGGAGACTCGTGAAAAAAATGTTGATTTATTCTTTGTTGCAAAATACCATCCAAATAAGATTATCATTTACTAGTATGATTATTCATCATTAATCAACATAAATATAGTAAATTAGTACATTGTGAGTGAAACAATAATCTTTATGATGAACTTTTAAGATCAAACGTGATGTTTCCTTAAAAAAATGATCATATGTCTTTCTTAACGCGTAATTATTTATTTTATAATAAAAAAAATTATGGCCAATTACATTGTAGTAAATAAAGTAGTTATTCACTTATTCTTGTCGTATAATCGTAAAACTAAAGTAACCAAAGTAGGTAAATCGATATTTTCAAAAAATTGCACAAAAAATAAAATTTAAGAAAAATACCTGACTCTAAGTTAATAAATATAAGACGTATACTATTTGAGAATGAATCATTCAAAAAACACTATGTGAACTTAATCCTCATACGTTTGATTGAAATTTATTTTCAAAAATCTGGTAAGCACCTAGATAATAAATTGTATCTAAATCACCCTATAAATCCGTAATATCACTGAACAACCTCGTTAAGGCCAGCCATCATTCCCGCTACCCTCATAAACCGTTTTTCGTAGGCTAATTACCCTCTAATTTAAAACGAATTTCACGCCTCCCAAATGAAACATGTTATCATTAATAAATGTTTTTCACTTACAGGGCAGGACTACATCTACACGGGACAACCGGACGGAGGTGGGTTCATCCCCTATCAGCAAAACCATAATCAGTATATCAACCCTTCCGAGATCATTCCCTTTCGACAAGCCCCAGCCGGATTTCAACCCCTGGACCCTCCTGAAGGAGGCAGTTATTTACACCCCGATTTGCAGACTTCTGACTTGCCGGTACATCTTCGCCAGAGTTTGCCACAGTACAGGTTTCCTTCCACCCCTCGGACTGAACAGCCGATAAACGTGAGTATAATGTACATTTTCCTGTTTCAAAGTTTAATTTTGGGTTTAATTATAGCTATGGTGCTTCTCTTAAGGTCGTTTGTACCATGATTAAATTTCAAATTATTTTCTGAATTATTTTGTTTGCTTAACTCAAATTAGAGTATAATTAGGGTACTTTTGAATGGTGACACATTTGTTATCATAAAATTTGACTAACTGTGGTAGCAAAGAAATTGGTTTTCAATAATTTATTTTGCAGTATACAGGTAATTTAAATCAATACGATTTTCATATAAACCTGGTTATATCGTATAACTCCATACTACTTAAATTATTTTATAAATTAAATACAGAGAAATCCGTTTAAGAAAAAACATAAGTTTACTATTCCGTAATTTTTTTTCTATAATAGTGCCGGAGATATTAGACCTTTTCACACTACTGATCACCCTGTGTAAAAACAATTTGATTACATCACAAAATTCGTGATTACATCACGGCGAATGCTCAGTTCGCTTTCGGAGACTGACTATCGAATGCTCGTGTTACATTACATTAGAAATAGCAGTAACAAATTTCGTAGATATTGAGGGAGCTTTCAATAATGTTCATATGTCAGTAGATTAAAGCCAGCCTAGGAGGAAGGATCATCTGTAGGCGAAGCTACATAGTCAGCTTAAGCAGGCACATGCTTCCTACCTCTATCGCTCCTTCTCTGGTAAGTCTAAGTGGACAAATTTATAAAAAGGCAAATATCTGCAGAATTGTAAGAGGCATGTTCGCAGTTTATTGGAGCGCACATGCACAAATCACTATAAATATCGTTTACGAGTGGTGAATAGATAAGAAACTAACAGTAAACCTACACAAAACCATTAACGTCAACTTCACAAAAGAAAAGTTACTGACAGGGCTAAAGAAAGGGAAACTCCATTTACCCAGGAGGCAAAATACTTAATTTTTATCTTTGATCAAAGGTTAGCATGGAATCAATACAAAAAGAACAACATCCTTCAACTTATGTCGGACTACAACTGCACTACAAATATTCCCCCTACGGATCAGTGATGTGGTGACCAAACACTAGGCAAGCTGGAGTCATTCGTCAGCTCAAAGGTATTCGAAGGCAAGCAAATTTGAGTGCCACAGGAGCCATGCGAGCGACTCCAATAGCAGCCCTAGAAGTCATGCTAAACCTAACGCCAGCATTCAAGATGAAGCGAGGTCCATATCACTTACCCATAAGCAATGGGTGTGACTATTGTCAGCTAGATAAAGAGTTGGAAACGACCAAATAATGCCTTTAGATGAAATGCTCCTAAAATATATCTTTCAAAAAGAATATATATATAGTAAGTATAGCAGACAATGAAGCGTGGAATGGAGGATCAACTATTTACGAATAAATCATCTAGTATACAGAAGGCCTAAAAAAATAAAAGGGCAGGCGAAGGTATATATAGTGCCAAGCCAAAGACAAGAATCTCACTGAGCTTATGAGGGACTATCTGGAAGCCCCAACAAAGCTGGGTAATCAGAACAAACTAACCTTAACCTGCAAAGTGAAAAGTTGCAAAGTAGTTTTATGAAATAGGCTCCAGGTCACATAGGACATAAGTTCAATGAAGAGGTTGATCTACTAGCCCGAGAAAGAGCCTCAAGGACACAGAACTTTTCTGTGGTGTCATAAAGACAGTTCTGTATCTGTAACGTGTGGAGGGTGAGTTACCCCCAGGGCACTTAGGCCTCATTAGGCCCACTGTGCATCCTCCTCTGCAGAGTGCGGATTCTGACAGCCCCATGATATGGAGATGCTTTCGTACTTGGCAATGACCATTCAGAATGCCTGGACCAGGCGCAGTTTCTGTCTAGTCATATTCAAGTATATGTTTGCTGCAGTGTTGTCAGGATAACTTAAGAGCTCCCAGGCAACTCTGCAGTTTCTTGTTTCATCCGTGAATTTCACAAGGAAATGTTCTTTGATTAGCCAATTTTGTCAGGCCATTAGAAGGGCCAGGTCCAAAAGTATTTGGTTGGCTGCTTTCTTGGCTAGTGAATCAGCAAGACGGTTACCTTTCGATGTGCCATGAACTTTGATCCATCTTAAGGTGTCCACATTGTTGATGGATACTTCGGCCAAAGCTTCGTGACATTCTAGTACTAACCCTGAGTAAATTCGTGGTCTGTTCAGGGTGAGTAGTGCTTGTCTGCTATCTTTATAGATGAGCATGTTCCTTCCAAAGACAGTTATTAGAATAAAGTTGTTAAAATGTTATACAACTCTCAAGAATGGTTGAACAATTCACCACGACAGAATAGGAAAAATACTAGGGTACTAGTAGAAATATTAATGGGGTATTTATTGTAGGCATACTAGAAATATGCATAACATTAGCTTGGCAGAAGAGTTGTTCCGATTCTGTCAGGAAGAGGAGGAAACTACAGCTATATTGTGCTACTGCGAAGATATATCAAGATCGAGATTCATTACATCTGAGGAAGAAAACCCAAGGCCAAGCAGTTACATCCTAGTCTATGGAGTCTACTAGAAAAGGTCAAACTAGGCAAATGATCAATGTATATCCACAATATATCTGAAAAGGTCGAAGTGGGTGAGGCTACATTGTCCACATTCCTAGCCAGATCTAATTTAATCTACATGACATTACAATGTTTTGTTACAAGTCATTCGCCGTCTTAAGAATGCTATCCAAGCCAGATCATAAACTTATAAAATATTAATTAAAAAATTATTCAATTTGTAAAGAAATTTTAATAAACGGTTTATTACCATCATCAGGCATGTAAAAAAGGATGAAGATTAGATTAGATTAGGAGTTGGACGTTATTTGTCCTTGTCCACCGCGACCTATTCAGATCTATTGTGGAACTCCGTTTGTTTTAGAGTATGTCGTCTAGCCTGGTCTTTTTTATTAGACTAAGTAGCTTTGACAGTGGCTCCAGCATGTAGTTACATGAATTTGGCTTTTCTTAGCCCAATGTTAGAAACCTCATTCCAGCCAGACCTTCACATTGGCACAGAACCTGGAACGATGTTTCCTCTTCTTCTTCACAGAACCTGCAAAAAGTTGCTTCTTCTGCTGGATTGATGATACCCATGTGCCTTTTGAGGCTTGACGCTTTTGATCCAGTAGGTCTTTCGTGAACTTGGCCGATGGTTCCTTGATGAACTGTTTGGCCTGTCTCAGTCTTGGATAGTTGTTCCACCATTCCTGAGACTCTTTTTGCATCCATTGTTTAATGGATGCCTTGCACAATGCCTTAACAACTCCACAGAAGGGTTCGGGGCCTGTTATGGCTGTAGCTGAGCCTTTTCGGGATAATTCGTCGGCCTTTTCGTTGCCCTGATATCCCTCATGGCCTGGAACCCAGGCTAGGGTCACCTTATTTTGACTACTTAGCTCTGTTAGGTCTTCTAGACAGTCTTTCACCAATCGTGATTTGATTTCTGGTGGGAGAATTGCCTTTAGAGCTGCTTCGCTATCAGAGTTATGGCAATAGTGTTGCCTGTTACTTGCTGATTTAATATTTCTCTTGCACAGTATTGTATGGCTATTAGCTCAGCCTGGAACACTGTTGCATATTTTCCTAAACTTAGCGAAATCGTTGTTTTCGACTTGGTTCCATAGATTCCAGCACCGGCTCTTTCCTTGGTTTTTGAACCGTCTGTGTACCAGACGAGTTCAGCCTGTACGGGAGGTCCCTGTTTCCAGGATTCTCGGGCTGGTATTTGAATTTGAACATTTCTTTCAAGTTTGTATGTGGTTATGGCTCTATCAGTTGGCATAGCTAGAATATTATCCCTTTTTACTTGCTGATATAGCTTTGTGTGGTCGGCGCTATGTAGTTGGCTTATTGGGTTTTGTCCCTGCATTAGCCTGTGAATAGCTAACCTGGTTTCTCCTTGTATGAAGATGTGCAGTGGCGTGAGATTTAATAATATCTCCATTGCTGCAGTCGGCGTAGTGCGCATGGCCCCAGTAGCACTTATATAGGCAAGCCGTTGAATGCTAGTGAGTTGGCCTATTACACTTGCCTGTGCAGTTTTGGTTACCCACGCCACTGCGCCATAGATTATCATGGTCTTATTACCCTTGTGTATAACCATATGGTCATTTTGGGGTTTAGACCCCAGTTTTTCCCACATATTTTTCTACAGCTTACAAGAGCTATTGTAGCTTTGTATGTGAGTTTTTGAGATGTTGATGAAGAAAGGATGAAAGTAAATAATGTAAATTGAGGCAATTATTATTGTGATTTTTATTGATCACTTTTTTTTCTTCGATCATTTTGGACGTTTATTCCATCATTGCTTGTCCAGAGGAGGGTTTTTGACCGGCGTCATCTTATTTGATTTAACTGACTCGAGGTTACCATTTGACGATTCAAGATTGTTCTTGTATTCAACGATGCCTGCGTTGTACCTTGTCACTTCGTGTTCTTGAACCATCAAGTCGTCATGATTTGGAGATTGCTGCTGGATTTATTTAACCTACTATCATTGTTCTATTTGCTGCATCAGAAGTGAATGTTTGTTTATGACTAACCCACTTCTCATTTTATTGTTCTTTTATTCACTTCTAATTTCTATACTACAAGAGTTTGATCTATTAATTTAATAATAATGATATTAAAAAAAACTCTTCAGTACAATTATTACAAATTAAACTCGTTAATACATTTTGTAATTTATATTTAAGCTCCTCTATTATTAAATTTTCCGAGATCAAGATTTGTAATTTATCTTCATATAATTTGTAATTTCTGTTTCAGTTTCAGCAAACTCCATATGATCAGTTTTCTTATCAAAATCAGAATACAGCTGAAAGACTGATCAGTTCGCCATCTGCTTTCCAAACTCAAAATCCTCAAAATCTAAGACCGACGACTCTCCGGCCAAACTACCCGCACTTGTTTATAAAAAACCACAACAGAGACCCGTCGAAAGAAACATTTTTAGGTGAAATAACAATTGATGATCCAGCTCAGCCTCCTGTGCAGTATGATGATTTTAGATCTAGCAAACCATACCCAGAAAAATCTAAAGAGTTCAACGATGTTTTGGAAGAAAATGGAGGAAACTCAATTGGTGGAGCAGGAAGACCGTCATTTCTAAATCACAGGTAGATATTTTAAATATCAAATAGAAACAACATTTACTAAAAAAATTATAAGTTAAATAACTATATATGTTTGTTTTAGAACAAGAATTCTTGCTCCAGATCCAAGCAAAGAATCCAACAAAGCCGAAATAAGTGAATATTTCGTTGACACTAATGGTGAAATCTACAGTTCGCAAAATAATTTGGAAACCACGCAATCTACAGTATTTTCGACACAAGCAACGTCTTTCGATCGAAAGTCAGTCAATAGAGTTAAGTCAAAGAAGACCATTTTAACGAAAAGGCCAAAGTCGGTTGATATAGAACCTCTTTTGGAAGAACCTCTTAAGTACAATTTTGGTAAGTCACATTAATCGTCATCAAGATTCACTTCAATTGCTCAGTCGTTCCCTTCGTTGAACTCTATTGTTGATTTTATTATAGGTGCCAATAACGATGATGAAGTGGAGGTTATAAAATCTTCAAATCTTTCCGGACATTCTCAAGAACGTTTCGAAGATATGCTAACCAAAACTGTCGATCCCTTAGATAACGCAGAATATCGTTCAGGAGACATTTTTACTTCACGTGAAAACAACGAACGTGGTAATGTAGGAAATAATATACAGGAAAATGAAAGCGGTGAAGAAATTGAAACTAAGGTAAAAAAAAAATTATTTTTACATTAACTGTAATAATTAACACTTTCTTTTGTTTTAGTATGAAAATTTAACAAAAGATAAAGAAGATCCTTCCAGGCCTTGGCTTCTGTCCGAAGAATCTACAGAACCTGCAGAACCCTTATCAATAAAAATGCCTGTTAAACCAGATCCAGAAATTGTTACATCTGTTGTTACTAGTAAAACAGTTGTAAATAACACCGTGGTAGGATCTGCGACTCCAATACCAAGTACTACTAGCCCTGTAAAAACTTCTACTGAATCATCAATCTTATTAGATAATACTACAGATGCTTGGGTTGTAATAGCTTCCGTTCAAACAAGTAGAAGCGTATCAGGAGCAAGGTAAACGAAAATAACTTACATAAAAAATAGTACACTGTGAGCCAAATTAAACCTGTATTTAATTTAGTTTTTGCAGTGCAGGTGAGCTGGTATATTCCTAATAGGATGTCCAATTGTGATTGAAGCATTTTAAATAGGACTGGATACAATTTCTGAATCGCAACAAGGTTTAATACATTATTTTAGAAACGAAAAAGTCCAGTCCTGTATAAAAATTTTCAACCAAATTTGAACATTCTAGAAAGAATAACGCAGGCAATCCCTAAACCAATTAATCAGCTGCAACTGGTAAAAAACTATAAATAGTTAAAAACTGTCTAAATTTAATTTGTCCCACAGTGTTTCCTAGTAGGACAAGACACAGTCCAGGACTCTGTATTGCTGTTCTGGACTATATGTTCCTTTTTTCTTTTCCTACTTATTCAATTAATAAAATTGTAATTTAGGTACCTTCCCTCATCAATTGTTGAACAAGACACTAGGGTAAAATTACTGAATGAACATTCAATGGAGGAAAATCTCAACGACACTGTAAACGATTCACACGTTATTGATGACGATGACGAAGAATTTACGACTGAATATGAAGATGACTTGTATGAAACCACTACCGTCGCATATTTATCTAAAATAAGAACATCTACCGAAAGCTTGAATGATAAATTAGATAGAGTTCAATCGGATCTGTCAAGTGGGCTATTAACAGGTAATTATCATTTATTTCGGAAGACTTGACCTCATTTTGTAATTATACCTTTTCTTTACAGGAGGTTTGGGTAATAATATAGCCGTCATCAAGGAACACGTTCCTGAAAAGGGAGACATGACCATGGACGACATCAAACTGACTACTACAACTAAAGCACCCTATCCTCAAGTTAACATCAGGAAGTATTCGCCAAATAATCGAAAAGCCACTACAAGAAGACCCAGGCCTCGTCCGGGTTTGAAAGCCAAGAAACCTTTTGACCCTAACCAACCACAAGGTGATCAACCCCAGAAGAAACCTGATGACCTTGCCAGCATTTTACCTCCAGGTTATAAATTAAATGCCAGTGATGAAAGAAGTTCGAAATTATTAGAAGATATTTTAAGCAGGGTCAAACCTAATAAGATTGAGAATAAAGTTGAAAATAAGACTGAAGAAGCATCTACTGAATTAGTTCAGAGCATCAGTACAACAGACAGTACTAGTTTATTAAAAAATGAAACTCAAAACACAACTCCAAGTGCATTTGAAAGCTTATTTAAAAATACAAAGGCGGATGATATATCAAAATTCTTACCACCAGGTTATAAGATACCAAACGAATCTCAAAAGTCAACAACAGAGAGTAGTGGTATGTTTAAGAATACCAAATCTGATGCCATATCCAAATTTTTACCACCAGGTTACAAGTTACCAAAAACTGAAGCAAAACCATCAACAACTGAAAGAAGTATTTTCAAAAATACTAAAGCTGACGATCTTGCAAAATTTCTACCACCCGGATTCAAGTTACATACAGATGAAGGCAAATCAACAACAGAAAGTAGCATATTTAAAAATACTAAAGTGGATGATTTATCGAAATTTTTACCCCCCGGTTACAAACTAACCAAAAGTAGTGAAGAAAAAACTACTGAACATAGTATCTTCAAAAATACTAAGTCTGATGATATCTTAAAATTCCTTCCACCCGGATACAAGGTACCAAAATCTGAAGAAAAACCATCGACCGAGAGCAGCATCTTCAAAAACACTAAAGCTGATGATGTCTCCAAATTTTTACCACCAGGTTTCAAAGTACCCAAATATAAGAGTTCCACGGAAAGCAGTATTTTGAAGAATACCAAAGCAGATGATGTTTCAAAATTCCTTCCTCCAGGTTACAAATCACCCAAATCTTCATCAGAAAGTCAAGCAGAAACTGTTTCTGAAAAAGGTTTGTTATTTAATGCAATAATTTTATTGAGCCAAACCTAACCTAATTTCATTTACTCCTAGGTGTAAACTCTCAAACAGTGGACATTTCAGCGTTTCTACCTCCAGGTTTCAAGCTACCTAGTAGCAACAACACTGTTCCAACTAACCTTCTACCAGCCAATTTCAGTAATATGGCACAACCATCTTCGACAACCAGCAAACCAGCAGGTAAAGTAGTTTTCCCTTCAAGACCTGGAGGACCTAGAAAAACGACAACAAGGACAACTCATAAACCTGTTATTGACGAACTACCAAGAAATACACCACCTACAATTCATAAGGGATGGCCAGTAAGGTAAGCGAATTTATGAATATGTTTCACTACAATTACTGCAATTTATTACTTCGATTGATTACACATTTATTTTTTATAGGGTTACAACTGAATTCACTGGCTGGCCAACCCCGTCAACTACTCCTATTTCAATAGAAAAACTTCTGGAGGCGGCTAAAGCCGCGTCTACCAGTACCACGCGTACAGTCGAAACGACCGTTTCCACGACATCAACTACGACCACGACAACAACGACAACACCCAAGCCGACCACTCCTGGAATATGTACTGAAGACTGTGAACTTGCTGGTACCATCAAGTTGGTCGGTGGCATTAAGTGGGTACCGGAATTATTGGATAGGAATACCAAAGAGTGGCAAGTCTTAGCCAATGAAGTTGAGAGTCAAGTAAGTGCTTCTTGATTAGATTCCATTCACTATTTCTACAGTTTAATAAGTTAACGGCAATCATAACTTTATTTTTATTTATTTTTTAGTTGGACTATGTATACAGTTCTTCTTCATTACTCAATAGATGGTACAGGAAAATTCGAATTGATGGTTTCAGGTAAGAAATTTAAACAGTTATTTAAACTCTGCTGTGTTTTATTTGGTTATTGCAGTTTTACTAACCAACAAAAGTCCTTTCCTGTTATTTCCTGCTGTTATTTCTCATACTGACCACTTACCAACAATCAAAGTCTTTACTAGTGTCATCTCATTTCACTGTTTATTTTCTTTTCTGCACCAAAGGTTATCAAAATTATAGATTATACTTTTTAGAACTCTTGTTTTCCTGCTATTATTATATTTGTTCAAAGAAAGCGAAAAATCGTACGTTATTGTACCTTCACGGTTTTACCCAGTACTTTAGAGGCGTTCCAACTAACTATGATCAGTTTTTGATATATGTGTTAAATCAGGAACCGCTTGTTGATCATTAGGCAATGAAACGCATGTCACAATGGCCAAGAATGGCCGACAATTGCCAAAAGTTTTTTGACCTTCGGCGCTGCGAAACTAAAATTAACGTAGCTGAGGGAGCCACTAGGCCGTCCGTACCAGCGATAAGTGGATTATTTAAAATGCGAAGGGCAAAAAAGGTCTTTTGTGTATAATTCCAACTTAGCATTAAGTTGGTGCAAATAGTTTTTTGATCGTTCATAGGACGATACAAAAGTTATTTGTTGGAACAAACCTGCTATTACTGCAATCTGTACAAAGTTCAACTCCCAAGAAAATAAATATGTATACTGTCTCCATATAAATATCTTCCTAATTTTTCTCACAACTAATTCCTAAACTTTTCTTAGTTTGTCTTTTAAGTTAAGCATAGTTTCATCTACTACCATTCTATTTTTGTAATCGCATGTTCGAAAATTAGAATGAAGAGCACATTTCCCTCCCTTAATGAGAATATAATATGCAGAATAAATAAAAAGATAGTTTTATCCAATAATTTATTAAATTCATAAAATAAAGACAATAATAAACATAAGGTCGTTACATGTCGCTATGAGATCTAATTACAGCCTCCCTTCTGCCTTTAATTATTACCAAAAGTACAAAATGCTCCTCTTCCTTTTTACTAATTTCCAGCTCTAAGCTGTAACTTATCTTTTGAGGTTACTGCAACATCTATCCTAAGTCATCCCACACATTTTCTATTAGATTTAAATCTGGGCTAACAACGTGTGTATATTAACACAAAGTTTTCCTCTATGAATGAACCATATAGGACAATTCGAAGTTGCATTACGTTCCTTTTTTTTATTTTATTTATTTACGAAAAAATCTCCTTTTACAAAATAATTATTATCAGTAGATATTTTAAACCTAACCTAAAGTATCACACAAAAAAGGAGAAAAACACTTAAATATCTTAAATATCACAAAAAACTTAGAGCTAAAGCTAACTCGATAAGTACTCCCTCAGCTAATTTTTAAACCTAAACCGACTAACTACCAAAAGATCAGTGTGTCTGTTAATTTCATTTCCTTGCCTTTGAAAACTGGTTAAAGGACGGTTGAGTCCGTAGTTCGTATGATGGAAGCTAATTGAAAATAATGGTTTTTCTCTAATATTTATGTTGTTTAATCTAAAGTTTATTAGCTCCAACATATCCGGACAAGCTATATTCCCTTCCAGGAGGTTATAAAGAAATAAAAGATCATTACTAATTAACGTTTTCTCAACTGACAATAAGTTTGGTTATTAAGCTCCCTCTTAAGGCATATGTCACCTCCACTGACAAGTTCTTAGAAACCTATTTTGAACTGCTTCTAAATTAAAAGTATGAGTCCGGTAATGAAGTGTCTAGACTGGTGAAGCATATAAAAGGATGCTGCGCACTAGTGTTAAGTAAAAGTGTTCGGAATGTAGGCAAAGAGAATTCCCTAGAGTTCCTGGTCACAAATCCCAATGTTTTCAGAGATCTACTAATGGTGGATCTCATGTGTGGGACAAATGTCAAAGATCACACCTGCTAGATCTTTGATTTCACTAACTTTCTCCAAAACAGTAGTATTGATATTATAAAGAAAATTTATAGGGTTTTTTGATCTTGTGAAGGTGATTGAAAAACATTTACATGGATTTAAAGACAGTGCATTATTTAAAACCCAATTAATAAATAGTTTAAATCATCCTGTAACTAACTTCAAACAGTCAGGTAAGTTTAAGATGTCTGTTTAGATTTACCCTGTATATAATATATTATTATGTTTTCATGGTAACATGAGTTGTTAATAATTATTCGAATTTGTAATTTAAAAATAAACGTCTTTTTCAAAAAAGCCAAACTATCAATCCGTTCCATTTGGTCCTTCGAGCCGGATACGAAAAAGCGAAATATACGTCGAGGGTTAAGCGAAACAAAGCGATACGAAGTTACGGAAAGGAGCTGGGTCAAAAATCCTGGTCAAAGATCATACTGATTCGATTTTCAGATAAGTTAACTATCATTTCTTGTCTTTTAAGGTGGTAAACGCTCTTAATAATGACTGAGGTCGAGAAATTATTAAGGAAAAGATCTAAAATACAAGAGTCTTTGAAAACGTTTGACAATTTTCTTAAATCGATTGACATAATTGTCAAAGATTCTGGTATTTTGGATAAGGATGCAGAAGGTATAATAATAGAAACGGAAACGCGACTTTATAGAATTGAGAAGTTGTTAGATACTTTAGATGATATTGTTGAAAAATTAAATGATCGTTTAGACGATGATGTATTAAAACTGGAACAAAAACGAATTTATGATGAATTTGAAGATCAGTTCTATAAAGTCACATCTAAAGCGAAACTATTCATTGCAACATTTAAAAAACAATTAACTGGTTCGTCTAATAAGAAAGATATAAACGACATCAGAAGTCCAGACATTTTACTTCCTACGATACCGTTACCTCAATTTGATGGCTCATATGAAAAATGGATTGAATTTAGAGATAAATTCAATGCACTTGTTCATAATAATATAAACCTGGGCAATATACGAAAGTTTCATTATCTACGGGAGAGTCTAAAGGGGAAAGCAGCTCAGACAATTAGAGCGATTCAATTTGGGGAAAGATATTATGAAACAGCATGGCTCACACTTTGTGAAAAATTTAACAATAGCGAAAAACTAATATCGAATCATATTAAAATCATTTTTGAATACGAAACTATTGCCAAACCTAACTCTTCTAAACTATCCGATCTTGCTGATACGATAAGCAATAATCTGGAGTGTTTAAAACAGTTAGGAGAACCCACTAACCACTGGGATTCGTTAATTATTTATACAATCGTTAAGAAACTCGATGTACAGTCTCTTAACGAATGGAAAAGATATAAAACCAATTTAACGGGACGAGCCGTTACAAAAGATATAATAGATTTTATAAGGTACAGAGCAGATTTTTTTGAAGAGGTTGAAGCTGACAACCCAGATCAACCAATGAATATAGTCAAACCCCGTGACGGGTTGAAATATTCAAATTTGGCAGGTTCAAGTCATATGCAAACATTAAAATCATATCAATCACAATCGCGTAAGTGCTGCCTTTGTAAAAGGGACCACTTAATATGTTTTTGTCCAGACTTTTTATCGTTATCGGTGAAAGATAGAAAATTAAAGGTTAAACAACTTAATCTTTGTGAGAATTGCTTGCGTACTAATCATGTAACTAAAGACTGTAGATTTGGCGGGTGCAAAATTTGTCAAGAGAAGCATAATAGTGTTTTACACATAGATCGTGAGAGGGTTGCTCAAAACTCTTTCCTCATTACTGATAATAGTGATACTACTAATATCAAAACTGAGGAATTAACTGGAGGTACACAATCAACTACTTGTGCGGTAGCTGCTGAAAATGACGTCACAAATCGAAGTGCAATTCTTTCTACTGTCATGTTACGCGTATCAAATTCAAACACTACAGCACGTGCTTTACTTGATTGTGGATCTCAGTCAAGTTTTATGACCACAGATCTATGTGCCAAATTAAATATACAAAAAAGCGAAACGAATTTAGCTGTAAATGGTCTAAATCAATCATTATCATATGCGAAATATAAATGCGAATTAAAATTACAGTCAATTTATAGCGATTATGAATTTAACGTTTCTTGCTTCGTGATTGATACCATTACTAGTCGTTTACCCGAACAAACCCTAAACCGGTGCATATTTAAAATACCAGACCATATTAAACTAGCTGATCCAATGTTTCACAGTTCATCTCCAGTTGATATATTGTTAGGTGCTGATGTATTTTGGAGTTTAATAGAGTTTGAACAAATTGCGATAGGGAAAAATTTACCATTTCTCCAAAGTACAAAATTGGGTTGGATTGTAGCAGGTCCTTTTAATGTACCGTATGAAAATAATAAATCGGTTTGTCATTTTAGTCATACTTCCGATACGAACGAATTACTGGCTAAGTTTTGGGAAATTGAAGATATTCAAAATAAAACCAATATATTGTCCTGCGAGGAGCAACAATGCGAAGATTGCTTCAAAAAAACCATAAAGCGCGATAAAAATGGAAAATTCGTAGTAACGATTCCATTAAAGGATAGTTTGGAGAAATTAGGCGATTCTAAAACGTTGTCTACAAAGCGGTTTTTGCAACTTGAAAAAAGGTTGCAACAAAATGAAAATATGCGAACCTTATACGTGGAATTTTTAAACGAATACGAAAATTTAAACCATATGTCGAAATGTACAAGAGAAGATGTGATTGAATATTATACGCCGCATCATGGAGTACTCAGAGAGGACAGTACCACGACTAAACTCCGAACCGTGTTTAATGCTTCTGCACCCACAACTTCCGGGGTATCTCTGAATGATTTGCAGATGGCCGGTCCTACAATTCAGGACGATATAGTTTCTATACTTTTGCGATTTAGGTTTCATGCAATTGTAGTCTCCGGTGACATTAAAATGATGTATAGATGCATCTGGGTACATCCGTCTCAGAGGTGTTTACAAAAAATCCTTTGGAGAAAGCATCCCGATGATGTGATATCAACGTATACACTAAATACGGTCACATACGGTCATAAAGCGGCACCTTTTTTAGCGATACGATGTTTACACGAGTTAGCAAATCAATTTATTAAAACAAACCCAGATATAGCACATATTATCAAACATGATATGTATGTAGACGATTTATTGACAGGTGCACAGTCAATAGAAGAGGCTACACGAATATGCTTGAAAATTTCCAGCATATTAAGTAGCGCAGGGTTTGATTTACGGAAATGGAAGTCAAACTGTCCGCAAGTTCTTCCATGTTCCAACTCATCAGATATTTTAGAATTTCATTCCAATGACAAAATTACTAGTAAAATTCTAGGGCTTTCGTGGTGCAATCACAGAGATATTCTGCTGTATAAAATTGTACCTCTAAAACAACCAAATATTACAAAACGACTAATTCTATCAAGAATTGCTACAATTTTTGACCCGTTGGGACTTCTTAGTCCATGCGTTATAATCGCGAAAACTATACTGCAACAATTGTGGTTAGAAAAATTAAGTTGGGATGATCCGTTACCGGAACATATTCGAAATATTTGGTTGAAATTCCATGAAAGTTTACAATACATTAATGAACTTCAAATAAACCGTAAAGTCGTTTGTAACGAAGCAAAAAACATTGAATTACACGGATTTTCAGACGCCTCCGAGAAAGCGTATGGTGGATGTGTATATGTTAAATCCACTAATGAGAAGGGCGAAGTACTCGTTAGTCTTTTAATCGGAAAGTCAAAGGTAACACCGTTGAAATCGTTAACTATGCCAAGACTTGAACTGATGGCTGCTCTAACTTTAGCAAGGTTGCTTGACAAGTGCATAGTTGCGCTTCAGCCAAAAGTATTTCAGGTAACATGTTGGTCAGACTCTACCATAGTTCTTGGATGGCTTCGTACGCCTCCCAATTTGTTAAAACCATTTGTTGACAATCGAGTAGCAGATATACAACATTTAACAAAAAATTACCATTGGCGTCATGTACCAACCAACGATAATCCCGCTGATTTAATTACACGAGGAGTTAATCCAAATCATCTTTCGGGGAATTGTCTTTGGTGGAATGGACCGTCTTGGTTAATAAATTCCGAGCCATATTGGCCAACTCTTGATATCAAGGTAGATAATCTGCCAGAAATGCGAAAAGTTTATACGGCTGTTACTGGACACACCGAATTCTTTCCTTTTCGTCGATTTTCAAATTTAAATAGAATAAACCGAACTATGGCGTATACATTACGGTTTATTAAATACTGCCGCAACGGTAGACCAAAAGTTAGACCACAATTTTTAAGTGTTGACGAACTAAATGAAGCATTTCTTACTTTAGTAAAATTATCGCAAAGAGAGTCTTATTTTGCTGAATTAAATAGGTTAAAGAATTCAAAGGCTTTAAAACCAGGTTGCAAAATACAAAATCTTTCTCCATTCGTAGATGCTACTGACACTCTTCGAATTGGCGGAAGACTTAAAAATTCAGAGTATTCATATGACAAAAAACATCCTGCTTTGTTGTCATCTGATCATCATTTTACTCATTTAATTTTTAGAGACACCCACATTAAGCTACTACATGCTGGTGCCCACCTTTTATTAGCACATACTAGAGAAATTATTTGGGTACCTAAAGGTCGAAATTTAGCAAAAAAAACAATAAGAGATTGTGTTACATGTTCAAGGTTTAATGCTAAAACGGTACAACCAATAATGGGAAATTTACCCAAAGAGAGAATTCAAAAAGCTCTTCCCTTTTCGATATGTGGTGTCGATTATGCCGGCCCCTTTGTATTAAAAGACAGAAAAGGTAGAGGGGCAAAACCTTATAAAACTTGGTTATGTTTATTTATATGTTTTATAACAAAGGCTGTTCATTTGGAACTTGTAACGTCTCTAAATTCTGAAACTTACATTCAGGCATTACGGAGGTTTTCAGCACGTCGAGGAATACCCTCCGATATATATAGTGATAACGGAACTAATTTTGTCGGCGCACGAAATGAACTAAACGAGTTATTTTCTTTCTTATTAGACAACAGTTCACAAATTTCTGATTTGGCAGCGCATATTAAAATTCGTTTCCATTTTATACCTGTTAATGCTCCTAATTTTGGTGGATTATGGGAAGCCAATATTAAAAGCGTTAAACGCCATCTAAAAAGAGTAGTTGGTGAGAAATTACTCACCTATGAAGAGATGCATACTTTTTTAGTTCAAATCGAATCAATACTAAATTCTAGACCACTTTTTCCCCTATCAACCGACCCAAACGACCTTATCGCTCTAACACCCGCACATTTTTTGATTGGCAGATCCCTATATACGATTCCGGCGATAGATTTAAGAAATATTCCGGAAAACAGGCTTTCTGTATATCAACACATACAGAAGATGCAGCAGCATTTTTGGGAACGTTGGAGCAAAGAATATATTAGCGAGTTGCAAGTTAGAAATAAATGGAAGGAAACGCATGGATCACTCAAACAGGGACAGTTGGTGGTGATCAAAGAAGACAATGAACCTGCAACCAGGTGGAATTTAGGGCGAGTGGTAGACTTTAAACCTGGCTCCGATGGCATAAAGAGGGTAGCTGTTATCAAGACCCAGAATGGTTACAAAACACGACCAGTATCAAAAATTTGTCCTCTTCCAGTCTCTTCTCCATCTATAGAAGATAATATTAATTGAAAGCCATCCCTTTCAAGGCGGGGGGCATGTTTAGATTTACCCTGTATATAATATATTATTATGTTTTCATGGTAACATGAGTTGTTAATAATTATTCGAATTTGTAATTTAAAAATAAACGTCTTTTTCAAAAAAGCCAAACTATCAATCCGTTCCAATGTCCATGAACAATTTCAGGTCATCGGCGAATAGTAATATATATTAAATAGTAATGGTCCCAAATGAGATCCCTGGGGGACACCTGAACTTACATTTATTGGAATCGAAGTAAAACTTTTAACTTTGACATATTGAACCCTGGATTGCAGGTAACTTTCTAACCATTTCACTAAGTAGTTTGGAAACCCGAATTTCACTAGTTTCCTTAAAAGCAAATCATGCTTCACCGTGTCAAATGCCTTCGAGAAGTCAGTGTAAATTAAGTCAACCTGACACCCCTTCTCGAAGACAGAAATGATATAATGTTCGTAGAGCAGTAAATTTGTATTAGGAGACTTACTTCCCATAAACCCATGCTGTTGTTCAATCAAAATGTTTTTGCAATGCCATGACAAAGGTTTATATAACAATAATTCTAATAATTTAGGTATTGCAATAAGTAAAACTACAGGGCGATAGTTAACTATGTCATCTTTCTGACCATTTTTAAATATGGGGGTAATGAAACTATCACGCCATTTTACAGGAAACTGTTGTAATTCCAAATAGGAATTAAATAAAAACTGTAGTGGTTTGGAAAGAGTGAATTTACATTTTTTTCAAAAAATAAGCAGGGATTCCATCTGGACCATAACTCAATTTATCTTTTAGGGAGTTAATACCATCATAAACATTTAAGGAAAACTGTATAAAGGGAATATCAGGCTGGTTAAAAGCATTATAATGAAGGTTTGGCTCATCTACAATATCTTTCTTATAAACACTGGAGAAATGCGTAGCAAACAAATTACTGATGTCTTTCCCATTATCAGCAATTATACTATTATAATACATTCTATTGGGAATACCATGGTCTTGTTTTAAAGAATTAATGTGTTTCCAGAAGTATTTTGTAATTTCACAAATCTTCAGATCTATACCAGAAATATAATGTTCATAATTTAGTTTTGATAAATTTTTACATTGAGACCGAAGGTTAGAAAAATTTATGTAATCAACAGCTGAGCGAGTACTTTTGAATACACAGCTGAGCGAGTACTTTTGAATACAGCATGAGCTGCCTTCTTGCGAGAAATCAACTTTTTAAGTTCAACTGAAAACCATCTAGATACTGATGGTTTATATCTCCTAACATGTACAAATAAAGCTAATGCCAATTTTAAAATCTGATAGAAAATTTCAACACTAACATTAATATCATTATTGACTAAAATACCCTCCCAATTAATTGGAACAAAATAATTATTTAAAGCTACACCGCTTCTTTTATGTACATATCTCTTGCCATTCTGTCCTCATTCTTCGGAACAATAAAAAATTAAGGTTATATTTTTTACAGTGAAGGCAGCGTGTTGGTTGACTACAATGTAGAACTTAACGACTTAGGTCGAAGAGTTGATACCCAAGAAATCAAAAAGCTGTTCCACGAATCCCTGGATGATGCACTCTCAACATTCGGCAGTTCCAATAGAGAAGGAAAAGCTATCAATGAATCCATGAAACTAGAGGGTAAACTAGCTTTGGGTAGCTTTGTTGTCGATCCTGCTTATACAGATTTCTTAGGTAGGTTAATTAATCAAAATATTCTAATAAATAATTCTAAATGTAGAGTTAAAATACTTATGCATGATTCTGTTTGTTTTAGTATTACCAAAACGGGGTTATCCAACTGTTGGTTATGCAGAAAATGACGTTCTATTACCACAATGGGCCATCGCAGTCATAGTTATAGGATTAGCATCACTTTTATTCGTGATTATCTTCGGAGTAACAGTGGTTAGTAAAAAACAAGCATTTTAAGAAATAAATAATTTAATTATGTAACGTTTTTTTGTAGTTGGTAAATAGACAGAAAAATAATAAAAAGAAAGCACCAACGCCTTTGACAGAAGGTATGTTGAACGAATTAAACAAGAATCATATGGGAGGATTTGATAACTATGGAGCAGAAGACTTATATAACATGGAAGATGTTTGGAACGAAAGAGCTTATGAACAGAAACCACCCAAAAAGGTAAATTATGTCAAAATATATACACTACCACTTAAAATCGCTTGAAAGAATGGCGTGGAATGTTGTATTAAGACGCTTTCTCTAAATTCCTCATCCTTTGCATTATCTGACTGATTTTCTGGTTTATCTTAGTTAGAGTGCTGCCACGTTGCTAGATGTACAATACTTATCGTTTTATACGATAATTTTGATGTTCTATACAATATGTACTTACAATAATTTCACAATTCTTTCAATAATTTGATTCAAACTTCTCCTCAAGACATCGATAATTCAGACGAATTTCATTTTAAAGTAAGTTAAAAGCAGGAATAAACTTTATTGTATTCCGATATAATTTGTTTCCGAATGACCTGACATCACTGTATGGTACACACGTAATAATTATTATTAGTTTGCAAATTTAGCTTTCTTCTTCTAAATGTTATTTTACCTTTATTAGGAACCTTATTTCTGAGTTAACACGTTGACTGCCGTTCATTTCTTATGGGGAATCTATTGAATAGGCGTGGAATTAACAATATTTAAGTAGGTCTGGTAATATTTTCCTATTTACGTTTTCTGTTACATTTTATTTCCGTTCATTTTTTTCCCATAAATAACTAACTAAACATTCATTTTGCAGGTTATACTAGGCAAAAGTAAAATTATTTTTAATTTTTTGTAAAAATATTGTGACAACAAAAAATAGTTTTTCTACCAACAAAAACAGATTTATCTACTAACAGAAGTGTTTTCTACATAGATTGGCACAGATATATAATGTGCACAAACAAACAGAATAATTTATTGACGACAGGGACGTTCTTTATTACCTGCTCTTAAGGCGTGAATGGAATATATGCACAAGGCTTAGGTTTGTAACAATACTCTTAAGAGCAAACTGAACACTGAAAATTTATAATTCCTTCTGAGCCTTTATTCTTAGTCCGATTTTTATGAAATTTTCAGGATAAACAACCAATAACAGAACAGAAACCTTGAATTTTTTGTAAACCTTAGAAAAGTATTTATTTTGTTTAAAAGAAATTTAAAAAGGAACATTTCCGCGCCATTCTGTATTACATCTATGAACATTTTCTGCTTCTTGTTTTAATAAATATCTAGTAGTTTTTAAATGATATGCTTTCTTACCTTTTTTCTTAAACGTCTTTGTAGAGTGCTGCCTTATCGTTGCACAAATTTAAAGCTCTTAATATTGTCAAGACACATAATATTACGAAGTATTTCCAGTGGCATGCATATAAATACAATTTTATATTAGAAAATCCTTAAAACATTTTTGCTTTCGCGAGAGGTCCGGTTTCCTCTTAATACATAAAAACAAACCACTACCTCGGCTCAGCAGAGCCTACCACGAAATTCGCTTCGGTAGTTAACGTGTTCTAGATTCTTTTTTATTCCTTTGTTCAATTTGTGGTGAGTTATTAATATTTCAAAAATGCTGATTTTTCTCATTGATTGTCCGAAAATTCACACGTATCTGTATCTGTAACGTGTGGAGGGTGGGTTACCCCCCCCCCCCCCCCCACGGCACTTAGGCCTCATTAGGACCTTTGTGCATCCTCCTAAGATGATAAGCACCTCCTAGCTCGTTAGCCAGCCTACAGTTTCAATGTAGTTGACAACGTCTCCAAGAGGTGCTTCTCTTATATCGGCCGGTATCAGCCGATACTCGCCGAATAAATGAGAGCGTCGAGCAATCGTAAAAGATATGCTCGATGGTCTCATCTTCTTGTTCACGCCCTCTGCAGGGGGCGGATTCTGACATCCCCATGATACGGAGATGCTTCCGTACTTGGCAATAACTAGTCAGAATGCCTGTGACTAGGCGCCGATTCTGTCTAGGCATATAAAGTATTTGTTTGCAAATCTGCAGTTTCTTGTTTCATCCCATCTTTACTTGAATTTCACAAGGGAATGTTCTTTAATTAGGTCTATCACTACCGATTTTGTCAGGCCAATAGAAGGGCTAGGTCCAAAAAGTATTTGGTTGGCTGCTTTCTTGGCTAGTGAATCAGCAAGACGGTTACCTTTCGATGTGGCGTGACCTTTGATCCATCTTAAGGTGACTACATTGTTGATGGATACTTCGGCCAAAGCCTCGTGACATTCTAGTACTAACCCTGAATAAATTCGTGATCTGTTCAGGGTGAGTAGTGCTTGTCTGCTATCTGTATAGACGAGCATGTTCCTTCCAGGGATATTGTTTCTGGTCATTTCTTTTGCTGCTATGAGAATCCCCGTTAGCTCTGTTTAAACTACACTGGCACTATTGCCCACAGCCCATTTTATGTTTAACTTTAAGAATCTGGAGTATATTTCACATCCTGCATTTTGTTTTGTTTTAGAACCGTCGGTATAGATATGAATCGTACCTGCCACTTCTGGCTCTTCTATTTGTTCTGTTATAACTTAGTATGGCTTATGGAAGATATATCTCGGTGATATGAAGTCCATGTTCGCTTGAAGCAGTGGGAGCGTATCGAGCGCCTCCTGTCAAAAGCGACGTCTCGCCTCACCAGATCCTACATCATGTTCTATTCCAACCGAGCGGAGGCATGTCATTGTCGTCAGATCAACCTCCTTGATGTAAATATCAAGGAGAGTGAGACTAAGATTGATTTCCATGACTCTGGTCGGTGTTGTTTTCATGGCTTCTGTTATGTTAAGACATGCTGTTCTTTGAATTTGTTCTAGTTTGCGGATAGCTGTTAATTTTTGGGTTTTCGGTACCCAAACAACTGCACCGTATGTTAGCATAGGTCTTATGATAGCCGTGTAAGTCCAAGCGACGACTCTGGGAGAGAAACCCCAGGTGCGCCCCACGGTTACAGTATGTCTATGTAAGTTTATTAATAATTTTGGGAAAAAAAGTTATTCTTCATAAAAATTTGTGCATGGTCTAAAACCTCAAATGCAACCACCTGATATAAAATTGTATCAGTCGTATACGAGGTTTGTCAATAAATATGATTTTTCTCAAGACAAAATACCTTTATTTTTGATAACATTTTATATCAGATTGTTGAATTTTAGGACTTAGGCCATGCATAACTTTTTATGTAAAATAACTTTTTGTAAAATTAATAATAATAAAAATGTCCATATGCCAAGTTAGCGGCATTATGGAAAACTATTATTACTTTTAGGGAAAAAATATTCTTCATAAATAGTTAGGCATGTTTTAATATCTGAAATTTCAACCATGTGATATCAAATTTTGTCAGTAGTATAAGACGTTTTGTCAAAAAATATGACTTTGCTCAAGAGTAAAGTACCTTTATTTTTGACTAACCTCGTATACGATTGTTATATTAGATGACCGTATTTTTGGTTTTAGATTACGCACAACTTCTTATGTGGAATAACATTTTTTCGGCAAACAAATAATTAAATATACCAATATCCCGAATCTAGATCCAAAAACTTTTACCTGCTATCTGCAAAATATTTTGCAAGGTCAAGAATCTCGTTTGCCTATCGCAGTGAGAATCGGGGCGCTAAAGTTATTTCAGCACAATTACCGTTTAACTGCACAGTGTTGTCATGTCGATTAGATATCCAAACTGGACCGGATAAATAATAGAATTATTACGCCACCTGTTGAACAAAAGAACTATTAAATATGAAAAAAAGGATTCTTAAATATACCACATAAATGACTTCTATCAAAATTAGTTAATGTTTTCGGAGTATGCTATTGTGGCCTTAAAGAACTAGGTAACTAAAATATTTTTTTTTTTTCAGAGATCGACTGGTTCTATTCATAACAACAGCATGTCTAATCTATATGACAGTTGGCGTTCAGAATGGAATGGATATTACTACAACGCTTACTATGGCAACCCTGGAAGTAGTCAGAGTGGTTATAATGGCAGAAGAAGATCTGATTACGACACCAATTTCTAAACGTTAATTTTAGTTTTGTAACTGCCAAATAAAACGTGTTATAATTTTATATCGTTTTAGAATGAAAATTGGTTACTTTCATTACTCACCCTCTAATTGTTGACAAAAAAACGATAGGTATGTAAATATACACGCATTTTTAGTCGTTTTAAACTTAGTTTAATAACATTTTGAGATATGCGTTATTTGTCAACAGTCAGTTGGTTTTTTTTTTATTTTTCACTGTATTAAGAAATCTGCAGTGGCATTAAAGCGAAAAAATGTTTCTTATGATATTCGAACTTTAACAAAAATATTCTTTTTATAAAATATACAATGTCTATTTAATATTTAATTGTCATGATGTAGCTATAATAGATGTTGCTCAATTTTTTACGTCCCAACCCAGCCTTCTCCGCTATAAAGAACTTTGGATGGGTAGAAAAACTCACAAAGTATGATTTGGCAACAATTTTGAGGCATCAAAACATAATAAATCATTATTAATTTTAATGTTATTTTTTTTACTTGTGTCTTGGTTAGGAAATGCGCCAGTAATGTATAATAGTGACACAACTAAAAAACATTTATAAACTTCACTTTTGTTATCAGAGTGATTGACATTTGACAGTTGACAACTTGTAGACCTAAGACAACTATCATTTACGATCTACATGCCTTAAAATTGTTGACTTGTAAATTCGAGTGTAAGGTAAAGTTTGTAGGAGAGAGAAGTGGTATTATTACCCAATGCTTGAACAGCTTGCTTATGTCAAGCGTAAGATATATTAATTTAGGAGTAAATAGGGTAAGATTGCTCGGTTTTTAAGGGATAGCGAACAGCTCTTCCTTCAAAAACGTTTTTAAATAATTTTGGCTATTCCAGAGATAATCCAAAATGATAATATTTAGAAATGTTTTTGCATAAACGAGTTAGAAAATTTAGCCTGGATTTAAAAAGTTTTGCTTTCTGGACAAAATATATATGTTTTTACGTACTAACTAACAATTATTTAAAGAATAACATTTTAACATTTATTAAATAACCGAGATTTACTATAATTTACAGTGAAATACTAAGATAAACAATTCCAATTCTGTAGGTAGACTATAGAGATACAAAAATGAAGTCTATATATTTAAATCTGAGCAGTTGTTTATAAATGTCAATATTTTAATCCATTGGGTTAACTATGAGCTCACAAAATGTTTTAAATAAAGGCTAAATAAAAGGTAAAATACGAATAAAACGGCTGTACGACAAATACAGGTTAGGTATGACCAGGTTTTTCTAGTCAAACAGCCTGCTAACAGCGTTTACGCGCTGTATAGTGTTTCGGCTGTGATTCCACCTATCAAGACTTCTAATTTAAAGTATCAGATAGGTAAAAATGGCATGACATCGATTTTTTAGAAAAATTAGATACCGTATAATGAACATTGGACAAATAGAAACCTTAGTAGCATTCTGACTTAACAGTTATAGTTTATTAATTAAAAGATATAGACCAAAGTAAAGATAAATAGTTATGTATTTATAAAAAATAAATATATTTTCCCATGTATTTACGTTGATTATTTCATTAAGATTGTTCTATTTGTCTACTGGTCGATTAATGTGAAAGCATGCACTACTCAGTAGCCGAAATGTAATGTTGGCGTTTCATTTGTACTTAACAGCACAATTTACAAAGAAATTATGTGTCAAAATGATGAGTAATAAATACTCATCCGTATCACTATTCACTGAGGTATAAGTTTAAAATTAAATGTGTACATACCTGTAAATATACCATAAAATTATGTCTATTTTCCCATTAATTAAGATTTAGATTTAAATTTACCTCTTACTGTTAATAAATTAAATTATTCTAAATGTAAGTTACATATGTATAAGGTGTTAAAACAATAAATAAAAATAATTTGAAATTATTATCTCTATTATTTATTATTTTATTCGAGATGGAGTGTTTAGAAAAACATACTACATTGAATGAAGATATATAATGCTTATTAATCTATATAATACTCTTCACAGTTTAACAGACCCCCTTAACTCCCTATTTTCAATCAGATGTTTTTCGGAATAATAATAATATTAATAATAATAATAATAATAATAATAATAATAATAATAATAAAAGTTTCCCATTTACAAGGCAAATTAAACACCTACCGCTGGTTAACATTCAAAATAAACTTGCTGTCGCTGACCTCCACATTATCTCGAAACACTAGGAAGACGGACAAAGCAAATTATGCTCACCTTCTCCAAGAGGCTTTGAGATATGCACTTGAACATGATCAGACGTCTACCGCATGGTGGTATTGGTGGTGTCACGAGTTGCATGGATCATCTGGCTAGGAAACTTTTTAATAAGGCAAGAACCACAAAACTCAAAGAGGACTGGGATACTTACAAATCCCGCCTCGGAGAATACAAAAAAATAGTTAGACAAAAACAGAAAGATGCATGGAGATCCTACTGCGAAGAAAGCGAAGATTTTCCGCAAACAACGAGGCTTCAAAAAGCACTCTCAAGACAGCATCAAACTTGCTGTCAACACACTTTCCTGACTTAGTTATCACAGATGTGGATGACTGGACAGACAGAGGAAGAATATACAACCCATCTACGATTGACAAACTGCCAAACACATACATATTCTAGACGATGACAAAATTAAATAGACTATCTAGCTTCTCTCCATTGAAATCGCCAGAACCTAACGGTATATCTATCCATCCCTACCCAGATAGCACAGGACGTCCCATGGACGTCCTGATTTGGTCCCTCGTTGGTCCGGTTGGTCCCGGACCTAAATAGGACGTCCACTGGACTTCCGATTACAGTGAACACTAGGACGTTCTTCGAAGGACGTCCTCTAGACGTCCTATTTTGGTCCCGTTTCGACAAAGCGTTTAGGTTTCGGTCCGAGTCCGGGACGTTAATGGGACGTCCATGGGGCTTTTTATGTACTAGCAGCGTTGGTCTTTGAATCGATAACTTGAAATTCAACGTTTTGTTTTTGCAAGAGTACGAGGACAGAAAACAACCTATCATTTATTTTCAAATGAAAAACAAGAGCTACAATTTTCGTCATTCAATAATAGCGTCTTCGACTGGTGAAACTGGTGCACACTTTTTAACACTCGGTGCAACATTTGTTTTCGACTCGCAAGGGCAGTGCGAACCGGGTCAGTTTTTGAATGTCCGGTTGGAATCAGTTGAACTCAAAAAAATGAACTGGTGCGCACTTTTGTGAACCGAGTTCAGAGACAGGTTTTCAGTTTCAGTTCAGTCGTAACAAATATGGCGATGGCAAACGAAGAGTTGTTTCTAAATTGTGTAAATTTTGTAGAATTTGTAAAGAAATATTGAAAACTTCTTCGTCAATTCAGACAAAGAAGATTTATTTAAGGCCAAGTGTAATAAAACTAAATTGCTAAAAATAAAAGATTACATTGAATCAGTGGTGTCGCACCTGGATGACTCCCAGGTAGGTACCATAAATATTCTTGTAAGTCCTGTATATGCATAGTATACACTGACATCTTAAGTACGTAGACAAAAGTAAGTTTATGTTAATATATTGAGAAAATATATTATAATATAATAATATTAAATATATATTTAAAATGAAAGCTTGGTTTGGATCTTGTTTGGAATTTGGAAGGTACTTCTATTTATTACTTCGATGACAACTGTCAAATATAATACAACGCACTGGTGGTCAACTGCGTTTTCGGTTGAATTAAGTTTGTATGACGTCACTAAATTAAACCAGTGCTGATCAACGAAAACTCGCACTTTACGAGTGTGAACTGAGTGTGACCAGTCGAAAACGCTATAATTAACTTATATAAGTGAGTTAGATTAACGAAGAAAAAAGAAGGTTATATAGTGTTATTTGTTATTTTTTTGATGTTGGTGGTAAAGTGGTTATAAAGTGAAGTGAGTGTTTTGTGTTGAGGTGAGAATAAGTGATGTGTATTGGCGGTAGCCGCTGGCGGAAAGAAAATACCTACCTTAATGGCGGAAAGTTGGAACAAAACTAATTTTGACAAAATTATAATACTCACTTAGTTATGTCGACACAAGCTATAAGTAGGGTCCAAGGTTTCATCTTACCAGCGCTGTGTGTTAAATTTAATTCATTCCTGTTTTTTTTTGTAAACTAAAAACGTTTAACTCTAGCTAGTTTTTTCAGGATAAAAGTTGTTAAATAAAGCTCTTTTATTGTTAACATTTTTGTTATTGTTACCCTTTATAGATTATGATCAAATATCGTCCCTGGGACTTCTGACTTTTGGGATGTCCCAGGGACGTCCCTAAAGGACGTCCCAAAGATGGACGGAAATGGGACATTAGGACGTCCATTGGACGTCCTATTGACGTCCCGGTACCAAAAGAGAACGTCCCTCGGACGTCCTTTGTGTCCCTGAAGGACGTCTTTTAGACGTCCATAAGACGTCCGTGTGCTATGTGGGTACTTCAGTGGGGTCTGGAAGAAATCACACCGTACCTGTTAGGTATATTCAGATCATCGTTGCCTCTGAGGTATATACCCCAAAAATGGAGAGAATTAAAAGTAGTCTTTATACCAAAACCTGTAAGGGTGAATTATACTGTTTCAAAACCATACCAACCAATTAGCCTGACATCATTTTCTATGAAGACGTTGGAACGGCTATGCAAAAGGTACATAAAGCATGTTGTAGAGTCCGCCTTGGGTATTTTCATAGACATAGAAGTTGCTTTTGATAAAACGACCTTTCCCTAGATAATACTCTCACATATGGTTAGTGGGTGGATACACAACATGCTTTCAAAGCGAGCAGTAAACCTAAGTGTTGAAGATGTAAATATAAGAGGATTGGTTGCGAGGGGATGGCCACAGGGAGGGGTGCTATGACCTCTACTGTGGAACATGGTCCGTCCTCGACAATATAATGACAGACATTACACAATACGGTATGCAACAGTGGCATACTGTTTGGTATCGACTGATACGTGTCGTATGGTTTGCGAAATTTTGCTATCGAGTAGTTGTCAAAGGTCACGTGATGTCGACTAGAAATATCAATTTCAGACGGTTGCTATGAGGCTGAGTCGATACCTATAGTTTACGCCATTTTTTCAAAAATTAGTGAATTCTATTATCTATCGAGTTAGTCGAGGGTCACGTGATATCGAGTACAAACGTCAATTATGCGTCAATTTCAGACGGTACCTATGTAGGTCTCGTCTGGAACTTAAAATGAGGTTATGTATGTTATACCCACATGGAAAGAAAGCATTGGAAGGAAGGATATACATTTCACAGACTCGTTATGTTTCTTTTTGGAAGAGAAGGTAGCAAATTCAAATTAATTTTCCGCAGTGTGTTAAATTCACTTTACAAAAATAAACTTTATTAATCAATAATGGTTGAACAGCTAATCATGAATGTCTCAATGCCGGTCTATACTTTCCTTTCTTGATTGTGATCATATAAACCTCGATGGCGTTGTACTAAACACTGTTACTTGTAACAAATTTCTTGGCGTAATCTTTGATAGTAAGCTCACTTTTAAGCTTAAATATTTTAAAAACTTTATCTCACTATTATTGGGGGGCGGAGGAAGAATCACTACTAAGAATGTATAGATCATTAATCTGATCTAAATAAGATTATGGTAGCCCTGTTTTTATATCTGTATCCAAAACATATTTACGCACCTTCAACACTATTCATAACTCTGCCCTGCGACTGTGTCTTGGAGCTTTTAGATCCAGTCCAGTGAATCCCACGAGCTTCCTTTACATTTCCGCTATCAACTTAATTTACTTTCTTATTGTACCAGAGTGTCTTTTAACTATGATAATCCAGTATATAAACTTCTTAATCATTCATTAAACTCTAATGCAAACTCTTCAACAATGTCTCAACCTGTTCTGCACATCTTAAAGCCTCTTTTAGATAATATTGACTTGTCTAAAACCACTCCTATCTCTTTCTCTCGTACTCCTCCTTGGACTAAAACATTACCTAATATAGACATTTCATTATCCAAATAAAGAAAATACTCCCAGTGTACTGTATAAACAATATTTTAGACAAATTATCAATACAAATGATTTCAATTCAATTTTATTTACGGAAGCTTCCAAAAATGAAAATGGAGTAGATGGCTCAGTAACACAACCGCTGAAGCATTACTGGCAAAATTCAGACTCCCAATCAACTACAGATTCACTCAGGAGAACTTTTTAGTATCTCAAAAGCTATGAAGTTACCAATTGAAGAACGTCAGAAGGTGTCCATCTGCACTGATTCTCTATCATCAATTCAATCTATCCAGGACATTTTTTCTCAACATCCACTAGTTCAAGATATTCATGAATCTCTTCAAACATTATTTAAAAATGAAATTTGCGTTTCAATTATTTGGGTCCCTTCACACGAGGGTATTGAAGGCAATGAGACCATTACGCCAAAAAAGCTATTACAAGTAACATACCTTTAGAAAACATTC